TCCATATTAAGATCCAGGCTTAAAACTTTTCAGTCCAAAACGCAAACTTTAGCTTTCCCAGTCTACTTTAGTTTCCCCAATATAATATTTTGCTTTTGTCATATTAATTTTGTCTCCTTTCGTAAACACAGGGTACCCAAGAGCAAGCAGTCGGTTAAACACACAGGGTACCCGAAAAGCCAAAGTTATTCTTCCTCGCTTTTACTTGGACAAGACTCRGATATCCTACAAAGGGCTAGCATCCGAAACGTCAGTAAGTTTCTTCATCTTTTCACGGTTTACCTTTTCATCATTACTAGTTATTCTTTCTGTTCAACCCAACGCAAAAGAGAACATTTCTCTGGAAAAATACAGCAAGCCYAAAACCAAAAGAATCCCAGGTAACACAGGAAGCCCAAAACCAAAACATTTCCAGGTAGCAAAGGAAACCYAAAACCAAAATTATTTTCCAGGAACACAGACAGCCCAAAACCCAAAAACATTTTCAGGAAGCCAAAAACGAAAAAAATTTCCATAATTTTTTCCAGGTAACCAAGGAATCCCAAAACTTTAGAAAAATTCAAAATAACACAGGAAACCCACAACCAAGAAATTTTCCAGGTAACACAGAAAGCCCAAAACCCAAATTTTTTTAGCCAGCACAGGAAGCCCAAAAGTCAAATTTTTGTAACGCAGGACAGGAAGCCCAAAACCCAAATTTTTTTAAGGCAGCACAGGAGGCCCAAAACCCAAATTTATTTTAGCMAGCACATGAAGCCCAAAACCCAATTTTTTTAAAAGGAGCACAGGAAGCCCAAAACCCAAATTTTTTTAGCCAGCACAGGAAGCCCAAAATGTCAAATTTTTGTAAGGAAGCAAAGGAAGCCCAAAACCCAAATTTATTTAAGTCAGCACAGGAAGCTCAAAACCCAAATTTTTTTAGCCAGCACAGGAAGCCCAAAACCCAAATTTTTTAAAAGGAGCACAGGAAGCCCAAAACCCAAATTTATTTTAGCCAGCATAGGAAGCCCAAAACCCAA